CCGAGAAATGGTAGAACAAATTGTATTTATATTTATACACCAAAATGCGCATCGCAAGCAAGCTAAGGAAAATGGATAAGGATACATAATGCTAAAAGAGTAATTTAAATATATACATACATTTTGAAGCAAGTCTTAACTAGAGCAACAGCTACACCAAAGCGAAAACCAAAGAGCAGATTACAAATAGAGAAAGAACAGAATGGGGACGATGACGAAGATACAAATAAGGATAGAGATGATTATTAATATGGAGATGAAGATGAAGATGAAGATGAAGATGAAGCGACACTGGCACCGTTAGCATATTTTTTTTATACAAATACAATTTAAGCAAACGAGACAAAAATATGAAATTAACAAATTGACGTAAATTATTAGTGAGAAAAAGAAGCAACTGATAATGTCTTTGTAAAGACTTTATACATGCCTGCCATATGCCTACATCTGCCTAGCTGTCTGACTCTATCACACACATACAAAAACACACACAGAGACATATTTCTATCCTCTATATCTCTCTCTCTCTCCCTCTCTCGCTTGTGCACACGGCCATGCTCTGGAACGGTTTGAGAAGCGCATAAAGAGGCGCACCACCACCTACGAACTGACACAGTGACAAATGTGTGTGTGTGTGTGTGTGTGTGCAAGCTTAATCGATGTATTTGACGTTTTATTCGAGAAAATACTGCATTTTGGTTACCCAGCTACTTGTTCATTGACCCTAACCAAAGTTTTAAGTACAATCCCAAAAGTGCAGCCGTTGTCGAGCAACTCTATTTGATAGCAACTTCCCCGGCTACAAATTCTTAGTGGTTCAGATGGCTGTAAAGCAACCAAACCCAATCTCATACGAGTACATCAACAAACACGTGACACTCTCACTCGCAGATTCTCGCCTAGACAAAATATATTGATTTTCATACATGCAAAGGTTATACATACAGACATATATGTATGTACGTATGTGCGATAAAGTAAATACAGCTAAAGAGGAATTAAAATAAAGATTCAAGAAATGCTACAAGAAATTATGACACCCGCCACTTTTCTACTAAACAAAACAGATCGACTGTATATTTACTTACTTAGCTGTATAACAGTATGTGCTAGTAGAGCATTTGCTTGACAAACAGACACACACACACATACACTTACACATACACACGAACACGATTTGCATTTGGTTCTCTAGTTTTCTTTTTAATGGGAAACTTAAATTGTATTTGACATATTCTTACAAAATAGTTCTCTCAACATAATACAAATAGAAATTGAATTAAAAGAAATGCCTTCATACATCTAAATGTTTTCGTGGCCACCACAAACATTCAATATTTGATCAAAGCTAAGCCTCTTCTTATCGATTTTTCAACGGAATACGAGTATTTACAACAACTACAGAAGAAACCATTTTTTGTTGTGTTTTTTTTGTTGGGTATAAGAAAAACGAAGGGTATAAACGACACAGAGCAACAAATTTTGTATGTATTCATTTTTATTAAAGTAAAAACAAAAATAGGATGAAAAACACTCGAACCACAAACACAGACAGACAGAAATTGTTTTATAAATAATATATATATATATATACATATATATATATATATATGTGTGTATTAGATATATTCGATTAATGTATTTAACAAAAAGAAAAACAAAATAAAACAAACGCCTGAATTAGTTTATTACGCAAAATAAATTGAAGTATAATTAGTTAATTTGAAATATAAACAAAAAATCGAAGCCGATACCCGACGAAAAACAAAAATATAGAAATGAGGAAACCAAAACTGCACAATAACATCTAAATGTAAAAAATATTAACTAATACATAAAAGAAGCAAGGAAAACAAGATACAAGCAAAAAACAAAAACAAATAAACAGCGCTAAGGGATAAACCATTTTTATTTTCATTAAGTATAAATAATTAACGCTTTTTTAGTTCTCCAAACAAGTTGCATATTAATTTATAAAAATGAGAAAACGACAAAATCAATTTATAATAAAGCAAACAGAAAGTAAAACTAATTAATAAATGGGAAACCAAAATATATTGTAATGTAATAAATGAAAAAGAAAGAGAACAAAACCAAAAACGATATATATATATACAAATATATATATATATATATATATACATAAATTAAAGCGAAATTTTTTCACACTTTAGCTTAATAAATTGTAAAAAAAAAATACAAAAAAAAAACAAAAACAAACAAACAAAACTGAAATAAAATGAGATTTAATTGAATTTGTTATGCAAATGAAAAATTCTACTTGTGTTTTTATTCACAACGAAGTGCGAGATTCCCACCTTGCTTCGCGGCAGTACCATCTGGGATCTGTGTAATGGGATGGAGATGGGTTCCTGGTGCGAAGCGCACTTTCAGTGTGTCATGGGGGCCATGAACAGTTAGGCAGCCCGTCATGGTTTACGGGGAGCGTAGAACTTGCCGCCAATGCAAGAGCGATGGGTGCGGAAAACTGAACGAGAGGCAAGTCTCTGCTCTGCGCAAGTTCATGTTGAAGAACTAATTACATACTCGTTTGTACTTGGATCTTTCTTGTACTCGTACTACTTGTAGTTGCAGCTCCAGCTGCAATTCAAACAATGGACCGTAGAGAAGAAGGAATTATATTAAAAATTAGAATGAGACTGAATTGGTTTTTCGGTTTGTTGTATTATAATTTCTTTTATTTGTTAATTTATTTAGTTGTATATATATATTTATGTATATATATACGTATCGTATCGTACAAAATGTTCAAACAACAAAAAAAATATATATATATATATATGTTTATCTGTATGTATATATTCGTTATCATATGGTGTATTGGTTGGTGAATTGGTTTATACTTGATTAGAGTTCGAAGTTTGTTTTTTGTATATTTTGTATTTTATGTGTTTGTGTTTTTTCGATTTACTAATTTGTTTTCTTCTTGCATGTTGATTCTTCTTTGAATTTTTTGAGTGATTTATTATTTATATAATTTGCTGTTATGTGAGTTACTTATTTAGTTGGTGTTGTTGGTAATTGGTAAAAATTTGTTTTGCCTACGATTTGTTTTAGTTTGAGGTCTAGTTTTATAATTGCTTGGTAATTCATAGCTTAGTTTTTTCTTTTGTTATTTGTTTTTTTTTTTAATATATTTGTATTTGTTTTTATTCAAAAATGTTTGGTGTTTTGTTAAGAATTAGAATTGCTATTTATTGTTGTTTGCTTGTGTTTTGTTTTTTTTTTTTAAGTTTTTTTTTGGTTTTGGTTTTGTTTTTAATCGATCAGCCCTGCCATTAACCATAGCGTATATTTTGTATATATATATCATCTATATAGATTTGTTACTCGTATAACGTAGGTTAATGCCTAACTCTTGCTCTGTATAAATTCTTGTTTTAGTTTTTGTTTCGCTTTAATCGTTATTTAAACAATTCTTTGTCTTTCTGGGCGTTAAAAATGCATATCAAAGTCCTTAATTAGGTTCTAGGCTGCGTTTAAGTAAGTTTGTTCATCTATGTATGATCATCTATGCCTTTGCTTGTGTTTTTGCTTCTGCTTGCTTTGCTTGATTCTTGATTCTCATTTACTCGGAACTACAAAATATTGCTGTCCATTTTCGAATAGTATATGTAAATCATTGACTGCTTACGGTATTAGTGCTAAAAGTTAAGTGTATAAATTGTATTAGCTTTACTTTTACTTGTATATTTAAGTTTAATTTATTTGTATTCCTATTTCCATTTGCTTGCCGCGGTTAACTCTGGTTTAGCTTGCTGTTCAAGTCGGGTTTTTGCTTGGAGTTTGATTTTGATGGTGTATGGTTTATGGTAGTGTATGGACACTGATACGCGCTGCTTCGGACACAAACCAAAACGAAAAATTTCAAACAAAATACACACATACGTACTTACATACATACATACACATACACATTAAGGAAGAGCCACCGAAATTTGATTATTTTCTTTGTATGTACAACGATTCTCGAGCTGGTTTCAGCTTCAGCCGCTTCACTCCGAAATCAAACTCAACTCCAAACGCACTGGAAGGACACCACAAAAACACCACACCGAACAGAAGAATGCTGCTACATTTCTTATATAAATGTTTTTTGCTTTATTTTTTTCATTATTAATTTACAACTCACGCGTATCATCAGCTCTTGCAAAATATAAAAAAAAAATGTATATATGTAAGTATTTGTGTTTATTTTTAAAAACCAACAGAGTAAAAGGGAGGGGTTGGGAAGAGATTTTCAAATTAAAAGAAAACGCGTCTCGCTTGCAGGTACTCGCAAAAGACGGCGAATGCCATGTAAACTGAAAAAAACAGACAGCAACAACTAAAAGAACTTGGAAATTTCTCGCCTCACTTCGCCACGCTTCGCAGAGATTATCTACAAAGAACTAAACAGAATTTCCCTGGTCTCTAATATGATAAATGATAAGCAACTAAGCGGGATAAGAGGGGAGTTGAAACGAAATCACAAGGAACCAAACACTAAAATGCTAAAGATTATTGCAAGATACAAATGTTGAATGAATGCAGGGCATGATTGTGGTATCTGGATTGTGGATTATGGGGGTTTCCAGGGGTGGTATAAAATGGGATCTCTAATCGGACTTTTCTTGCTTCAATTACATAGATCTCTATATATATATATATATATATATATATATATATATGTGAAGTATATATGAGGTTGTTTTATTGCTGTTAATGTTGCTAATTATCCTCGAGTTACTCTTTCTCCTCTCTGATTGCGTGTGCACGTACGTGCCTCTCTCGTACTTTAAGTTGGTGTGTTTTGTTCTGTTCTGCTCTGTTCTGCTTCATTGCGATTTATTGCTGGCTAATGGCTGATGCTGATGCTGCTGCAGCTTTTACTTCATCTTCTGCTGTTCTTTTCTGTTTCACATACAACTTTAATTATTCGCTTCGTTCGTTTGTTTGTTTTGTTTTTTATTTTTTTAGTTTTCTTTAATTTGTTTTTGTTTTGCCATATAAATTGTATATAAATTGCCTGCCTGCGCTACGCTGAACGTTTTGTCATAAAAGGGTTTTTGTTTGGTTTTGTTTTTCGAGTTTTTTTTTTGCTTTTCTTTTTGCTTTGTTTTGTTTTGTTTTTTTTTTCTTTTGTTTCTGGTTTTCGTTTACTGTTTTTATGCCTTAATGGTACAGCGTTTTTTACCTTTTTTTTCTTGGGTTTCTTTTTTGTTATTGGTTGTCCTTGTTGTTGGTTTTGTTTATATATGCATTACTTAACTAACAAATAGAAGCGCGCACATGGCGTGGTGCGTCAAGTAAATATATATACTGCACACATGCTGTACATACACACACACACCCGCCACATGCACGGGACTAAACATAGCTTAAGACTAACATTTATAGACGTTGCAGCATGCTGATCTTGTTGCTGCTGCATGCATTAGAAAAAATTTAGGTTTATGGGTTCCTGGTTGCTGTCACTTCTGCTTCCGCTTCTGCTGTACTCATCTCTGTTGTTTCCTTGTTTCATTTCGTTTGTAGTTAAGTTAGCTCCGCTCCGCTCACCATCGTTTCTCCATCTTCTTGCAATTTAGTACATAACGTGTTGTGTATAATAGGTATGTAGCGTAGAATTATTAATTAAAGTATGTTTTTATATACGGCATGCTGCTTCCTGCTGCTTGCTGCTGCTGCTGCTGATGCTGCTGATCATCCTTCCCTTCAACGCTGTCGCTCATCTGTCGCTCTCCCTCCCTCCGTCTCTCGCTCTATCTGTCTCACTCTCACCAGCAAAATATCATATCAGGCTTTATTGCGGATCGATTCCCTGCACTTTAGATGTCGCCATTGTGAGAGACATTCTGCTCCAGCTCCTTCAATTTCTCCTCGCGCGGCTTGGCATTGCCGAAAATGGATGCCGACTGCTTGGTTTCGGCCACCGCATTGATTGGGGCAGCAATCGTACGTGGCTTCAGCTGCAGACGTGGCCTCTCCGTGTCGTCTGCAATCAAAGAGTTCAGAATGAGTAAAACTGGAGCCGCCACAGCAACCACAGCAACACTTACCAATGGCTCCAATCGATGCACCACCGCCGCCACCACCACCACCACCGAGGTTGCCGCTGCCTCCAAGACCGCCACTGCCACCAAGGCCGCCGCCGCCTCCACCAAGGCCGCCGCTAGGACGTTCACTCTGCTGGTTGGGATTGTAGTGGGTACGCTCGCGGTCACGGTGCCGGCTGAAGTTGTTGTAGCGGTCGTTGTCGCGCGACTGATTGCCATAACTGCCCTCTCGCTGCCCCCGGTCACGGTCCTGATTCCGATCGAACCGATCATCATTGTTGAAGTTTCCGTACCGACCACGATTCGCCGGTCGATCTGAAATTGGGTAGGGGACACGACACATGTCAAAGACGGGTTAAAAACGTTAGACAACCAGCCAGGGGGGCTGGGATCTTGTTGTGATTGGATAAGGTAAGGCTAAGGCTCGTCATGCTAGCTAGATGGCTATTGAAGCTAGTAAAAAGCGTGCGGGAAAATCTATTCAAATTTATCTCAGCTGATACTGGGCGCTTGAGATACTGTAGGCACATTTGTGCAGGAATTAAAGGGAATAATGGATAAGGAATATGGGATATGGGGTAAAGAGGAAATTTCTAGGAGAAGCAAATCAAAGAGAGAGAGAGAGAGAGAGAGAGAGAGAGAGAGGTTTCAGGATAAATCCTAAATCCAACAGAAACGGAGCGGCAGAATACAGATGAAAAAAATAACAAATAACTTAAAGCCAGTAGATACAGTGGGGGAGATTGTGCAGTGGGGTAGGTAGGTTTCTAGGTTTGTAGGTTTCTAGGTTTGTAGGTGGAGTGTAATAACACTTTCGGAGACTGCAGCGTGGATTTATTAGTTCCATGCGTTTCGGTTCGAATCAGAATCAGAGTCAGAGACTGCTACTTGTGGCAGCACACTACGAGGGATGCAGCTACGTGTTGATTGGTTGGTTTGTTGGTTGGAAGCCAGATAAAAATGCTTTACCATTGTATCCTCTATTCATGCCACTGCCGGAGCCGGAGCCTGCGCCGCCGCCGCCTCGACTTCTATCACTGTGACCACCATAATTATCATTGTACGAACCTCTACTGTCGGCGCGATTACCAGAGCCGCCGCCACCCTCGCGACCACCGCCGCCGTTGCCGCCAGTTCCGGGACCGCCCCGGCTATAGGATTGGCTGGTACCGCCCTGTCGGGGCGGTCCGCGCTTCTGGAAACCGTCTCTTCCACCATCACGGGTCATGCCTCCATTGCCACCGCCAACACCGCCACCGGGCCTGTGAAAAATCAAAGGAAAGAAAACAATTACACACAACACACACACAGACGTGGCAGCCAAATGAAAGAAAAAGTTAGTCGCATTGTCAGATTGGAGGAATCTGTACAATCTGTGCAAGCTTACCGATCATTTTTCCTACGGTCAGCTATATCGATGCGCAGCGGCGCCGACAGATCGTCCAGTTTGATGCGTCCATCGAACTCGAGGGCCCGCTCCAGATTCTCCAGCGTTTCGAATTCAACGTAGCAGAAGCCTTTGAACATGTCCGTTTCCCGATCCTTCACCAGCCTCACGTTCTTCACCTCAAAGTCTTGAAATATTTTCATCACATCTCCCTGGACGAGGCCCTGGGGCAGGTTGCCCACAAAGGCGATAAAGGGCGGTTCCGTTGGTAGTACCTTCATCTGGCGTTCACCGCCAAATCCCCCCCTGCAACAAATGGATGATTGAATGTTAATCATTAGAGTGCGATTTTCTGCCAACTGTTTTAACATTCTCCCCCTCCTTCTGCCCCGACAACCGGCACTGGCTTGGTACTAGCTTTATTATACCCTCCCACACACACACATGCAGAGCTAAGCAGAGCGGACATGGGGGAAAAGCGAAGCGGAATAACAAAAGGAATTCCGAACCCGATACCGGGATATGACAAATGTCAACAAATACCGCCACTGGATCCATATTTCGATGCGTGTACATTATAAACAATTGCTGCACGTTCATTAAACATAAACAAAACCAAGTTGTGTCCACCACTCAATTGAGGGACAAAAGCGCGCGCTTTTAGCATTAAGCCAATATGAAGTTTTTCCCATGAATTATGGGTCTATTTTGGGCGTTTGGATCCATTGCTGGGGCCTGACCCGGCCCTGGCGCTGGTCCCCGGCATGACGGCCGCGCTGGCTCTGGCTTGCTGGGCAAGCAGCGATGTAATTTTTCGTACTGTTTTTGGGTAGTCAGGCCACGGATGTTGGGCGACAATGTTGGAAGTGATGCCATCAAGCCGTTTTACTGAACAAAACACTATCACACAGTAGTAGAAAAGACAAAAAGAATGAAGGAGAAAAAAAACACGCACACTGGCGCACACACACACATATCATATACATATATAATGACGGCGACCAACGACCGACACGTACATAACAAGGTGTGCGTGTATGGGTGCGTAATCGTGCGCCAGTGTTCGTGGTATGGTATGGTGTTGCCTTTTTGCCCAAACCGCGTGCATTATTACACATTTGAGTAAAAGTCTGCACTGCCGAAAACACGCGCGTATCACACACTTGAAAAACAAAAACCGTACACCATTTCGACGAGATTGCACCGACAATTATTGAATATATTTAATAATATTTACCTAGCGTGTTCATAACCACCTCTTCCAGCCATGTTTTATTTTTTTCAAATGAGCGAATTCGCTGCAATTCGTAGACTGACCTGACAACCCGACAACAGTGTGTACACACCACACCATCTGCTAAGCGTGCCGCCAACTTTAACGATTCACATTGCAAGTGTGGTAGGTAATTAGATGGAGAGTCTAACATGCTCATAAATAATTTAATGCCCAATTATCTGTATCATAAAAATGTAAATTAATTGCTATTCAAGTGCTGCCGCAATAATTAATTCGCAAGCAACACTTGTCAATTCGCCGTGGAGTACGTTTTGCAGCACTTGCGATAACAATATCGATAATTGTGCCTGAAAAATTCACTCCAAAAAATCTTGGGGAACATTAAAAAAACTAGTAATTTATTTTATAATGCAACCGCTGTTGCAAATCTTCTATTAGTCTTCAATTTAATTCATATATCGGCATATTGATGACGGATATTACAGTGCTGGCAAGCGACGAATCAAGTAAATTCGCCGCACGGCGTTCGCTTACAACACTAATGTTTTCTGGTTTCTTTTTACACGCAGTTTCGGCAAAATTGTACACGTTTTTTTCATAGCAGCCACGAATTGCATTTTGAAGTTTATTAATACATATATTTCACACTAAACGTCGTTCGGAACAGCGCAAAGATGGCTCTAACCTCCCGGTTTTACAACGAGCGATATCCCGAAATCGAGGACGTCGTCATGGTGAATGTGCTTTCCATAGCCGAAATGGGCGCTTACGTACATCTGCTGGAGTACAACAACATTGAGGGCATGATATTATTGTCTGAGCTGTCACGTCGCCGCATTCGCTCCATTAACAAACTGATCCGTGTGGGAAAAACCGAACCGGTGGTCGTCATTCGTGTGGACAAGGAGAAGGGCTACATAGATCTGTCCAAGCGTCGCGTTTCGCCCGAGGATGTGGAGAAGTGCACCGAACGATTTGCAAAGGCAAAGGCCATCAACTCTCTGTTGCGGCATGTGGCCGACATTCTCGGCTACGAGGGCAATAAAAAACTGGAGGAGCTCTATCAGAAGACCGCCTGGTATTTCGAAAAGAAATACAACAGCAAGACGGTGGCCTACGACATCTTCAAGCAATCGGTGACGGACCCATCCGTCTTTGACGAATGCAACCTGGACCCGGAGACCAAGGAGGTGCTACTGAGCAACATCAAGCGAAAACTCGTCTCACCCACTGTCAAAATTCGCGCCGACATCGAGTGCTCGTGCTATGGCTACGAGGGCATCGACGCCGTCAAGGCATCCCTCACCAAGGGACTCGAGCTGAGCACCGAAGAGCTGCCCATTCGCATTAACCTAATAGCGCCGCCACTGTAAGTTGATAAACTAACTACCATCGATGCCCCCCAGAACTAATTTTCTCTTTACATATTTTTCAGCTATGTGATGACCACAGCCACCACAAAGAAGACAGATGGCCTGAAGGCCCTGGAGGTGGCCATTGAGAACATACGTGACAAGATACTAGAGTACGAGGGCGAGTTCAAGGTTATAATGGCACCCAAGCTTGTTACGGCCATCGATGAGGCAGATCTGGCACGGCGCCTGGAGCGTGCCGAGGCTGAGAATGCCCAAGTCGCTGGCGATGATGATGAGGAGGATGCCGCCGATCAAGAGGGCATGCAGTTCGATCCCGAGAAGGAGTTCAATCACAAAAACTCAGCGGCGAATGCCAAATCCGATGATGACGAAGACGATGAGGACGAGGACTAAATTTTAATTTTGAAAATAGTTCCCACTAGTTGGTGAAAATCCAACTACAATTTGAACAAGAGCGGGCTCCAATTCCCTCAAAAGTTCAACAGCGAACACAATTGATTAATTAATAACTAATTAATTAAATTATAATAAATTAGCCACAGTTGCGATGGCAAAGTAATTAATTCACAACAGAAAATGCAAAATGCTTTTTGGTTCCTTCTTTATCCATTTATATTTTTATATGTATGTATCCAATTCCAAAAACAATTCTCGACTCTTTTATTTGTTTCAAAAATTCAATCATTTGACATTTTGCCCTTTAACATGATCGTCCCAATTAATAGAGCGTCGCATCTTAACACTAGATCAAATTTGTATATAATGTTTCAATATATGTATACCATATATTTTAATATATATATAGAAGTGTACGTGTGTGTGTGTGAGTGTGTCTATATATATGTAGTCTGGCATATTTTCGGTATATGTCTTTCGTCGTTTCGTTCTTAGCTTCAGTTTCGTTGCTGTGGTTCCATTACCATTACCATTTAAGTTCAGTTTTCAGTTTTGCATTTGCATCTTTAAAACAGCACACACACACACACACACACACAGTAATGCTTGCATCCTCGTGTGCATTGGAGGACCAACTGACGCTTGTCGCCCGAAATGCATTCTCATCCTACTATTTAGCTATTGTGTATAACGATTCATATAAAAAAGGAGGCATATTAGTTGCACACAAAATTTCCCTAAATTACAAATTTAATTTTTATCCATTTTTCCATTTTTGTTTTGGTATTGCTCGGAGTATTTCGTTGAAACGGAATCTAGTGGCTGTCTGTCTCGCTGGCTGGCTGGCTGGCTGGCTGGCTGGCTGTCTGTCTGGCATATCCTTAGCTATCGTGCAATGTTGGTTCTCATGATGTCGTTACTATTGTTCCCATAGGCTTGAACTGTAGTGCTATGGAGAAAGAGAAAAAGGAAGAGGAGTAGGCGGTGGCGGTGGTGTCTGTGGCGTTCATGGTGGGGTGGGCAGGGCACGGGCAGGGGGGACAGGGGGCTCCAGCCCGAGTTCAGCTAAGTCCGCCACCGGCTGCCTCGTTGCGGCTAAGCAAAAGCGAGCTGGCCACCTGCTTATTGCCACCACACTGCCTTAGCACAATGAGAACATCGCCGCGCGGATAGCCTAGTGCCATGAGATCGCTGACATCCTGTTCGGTAAATCGATCCATTGGCTGGATGGTATTCGCCCCGTGCCCTGCCGCAGCTGAGCTAGAGGTTGAGGCACCATCTCTTCGACTCTGCTCCATGGCATCGGCAATCGCCTGCTGTTCGGCCTGTTCCTCTGGATTGCCCGTAAGCCGGGCCCCAACCGGCAGCTCGCTTTCGGGTAAAAATGGTGTTGTCGTTCCGGTAGTGCCAATAATCAAAAGATTTCTCTGCAGATCGATGAGGCACTGCAGCAAATAATGAGAGAGAGAGAGAGTTAGAGAACAAACAAACACACAACAAAAAGCGAGAATTAGGCGTTACCTGATGGCGCTTCAGCATGTCCAGACCCAACAACATGTCCATGGGCTGTTGGCCGAGAACGGTGAAACTGGACGTCAAGTGATCGTTCTCGATCTGCAGCTGAACCATGTGGATTCTGCCCAGAATGGGCTGTGTGCCCACACCCTTGGCGACACCATTCCAGCGCGTGTCAATTAGCCGATTCACATGGCACCTCTCGGCACAGTCCTTGCTCATGATTGTCGTCTGGGCTCCAGAGTCAACGAAGGCCTTCACCGGCACGCCGTTTACCTTGCAGTTGATGTAGCTGTGGGGAAATCAATTTAAGTTTGAGGAGAGGTCTGGGTCTTGTGTGCACATTGGCGCAGCACTTACAGCATCGTGACCATGCCAAAGATCTCCGGATTGTATTCAATGGCCGCCGCCATATTGTCCTGGATGTTCTTCTGCTTGATCTCCTCGGCAATCAGACGCTGCGTCTCCTCATCGAACGGATCCGCTGTCAGCATTCGCACCCGCTGATCGTTGCGCCGCTTCCGCTCCGTCACATGCTCCCTGAGGGCACGGGCAAACGTGTCCGGATCCCCAGAGTCGAGGGCCTCCGCAAGCCGCGTATTATACTCCCTCAGCAGGGCCAGTGTCTTCGGGCTGGACAATAGCAGCTGCCTCACTGTCTCCGGATCGTCGTCGAAGTTCACATTGAATTCGTCCGTCATTGGGATGTCTGTAAGGTTCTGCATCTGCTGTTGCTGCTGCTGCTGCTGCTGCAGACTGTTGCTGGCGATGCCTCCTCCCAGTCCACCCAATCCAGCCAGTCCAGCTACTCCTCCCATGCTAGGATTGGACATTGAGGGTGGGCTGCCGCCACTGGTCGTTGCACTGGACCCCGGCACAGCAATACTGCTAAAGTCCAGTCCACTTATTACCGGATTGTTGGCACCTCCTGTGTTGGCAAAGAGTGATTCATTATTAGCGATTAATAAGCAATTCTATGCGATGTGCATCGCCCACACACAGAACATCTGTATATCATGATCTGCATGCGAGGGGTCTTTGTTGGGGACGGAGGTGTGCGGACTGACAAGGCCAACCACGCACGCTGGGGTCAAGTAAACAGCCAGACAACAAAAACAAGATACGAAGATCAGAGCACACCTGCTTATGGCCTTCTCCATCCATGCATACACATGTGCATATGTATGCATGTGTGTATGTGCCGCGCACTTTCCACTTTCCACTACGTTGCAATGGAATCAAATCCACCTCCTTTCCAGTGTTCTGTGTGTGAGCGCACACTCTCTATCTCTGCATGTGTGTGTGTGGTCCCATTTACTTGCGTTTTTTTGTCTTCAATTTCTTTCGGAATGTGCACAAAAATGAATGGGGAAAAGAAAAGAAAAATCGCAACAACAACAAAAACCCCACAATGGCAAACAAAAAAGCGCGTTTATTTTTAAAATTAACTGCGACGCAGAGGAGGCGTCCGACGGTGGCAAAGATCTTTTTCCAAAAAATGCATGAAGATCTTCAATGCTTCTGCCGAATTGAGTATATCCTTTGATTTTTCGCTGGCTTGTCAAGTGCGTTCACCAGGACCATCACATGAAATGCATCATGGATCGGTGATCAAGTTGTCCTGGTGAACACGACCAATGGTTGTTCGGTACACAAAATATGTCTTGTTTATTCAAGAATTTTAGCTATTCATATGTTAAACAAGCTGAGAAGAAGTATTAGCCGAGTAAAGTACTCGTTGCGATCGATCCCTGATCGATACATCACGTTTTACGTGATTTTAGATTACTTATTTTGTGCATATACAAACAGCTGCCTAAA